CCCTTCCCCTCCCAAAGCCCCGCCTCTCCCCAGGCTCCACCCCCCAGAGTCTCCAGGTCATTCCCGACCCAGAGGTGGCAACCCTAATTCTACCCCACTGAAGCCCCGCCCCTCCCCCAGGCTCCACCCCTCCCCCAGAGTCTCCAGGGCATTCCCCACCCAGAGGTGGCAACCCTAATTCTACCCCACTGAAGCCCCGCCCCTCCCCCAGGCTCCACCCTTCCCCCAGAGTCTCCAGGTCATTCCCGACCGAGAGGTGGCAACCCTAATTCTACCCCATTGAGGCCCCGCCCCTCCCCCAGGCTCCACTCCCTCCCCCAGAGTCTCCAGGTCATTCCCGACCGAGAGGTGGCAACCCTAATTCTACCCCACTGAAGCCCCGCCCCCCAGAGTCTCCAGGTCATTCCCGACCCAGAGGTGGCAACCCTAATTCTACCCCACTGAAGCCCCGCCCCTCCTCAAACCCCGCCCCCACCAGGCTCCACCCCCTCAGGCCCTCCCCCAACGGCCTTGACACCCGCGCCGGCCTACCTGGCAGGGCCGTTGTGAAGACGGCCTACCTGAACTGTCATCCCAGCCAGACACCGCGTGGCTCCTCCTCCTCCTCGGCCCGTGACTCCCCCCAGGCAGCGACACGCCCTCCTCCTCCTCCCCGCCACCTTCCCCGGGCCCCGCTAGGCCCGACGCCCGAGCAGAGGGGGCCCCGAAGCCCAGAGCGGGCCCTCCCCGCGCCCCTTCCCTCCGCCGAGGCCACTCACCGCTCCCGGGCCGAGGCCGCCTTCCAGGCCGGGGGAGGAGGGGGGGGGGAAACCAGCCGCGAAACCGCGAAAACGAGCAAGGGATTCCGTCCCCCTCAGAGATTCCGAGCGAGCCTCGCGAGATCTGCGGCGCGGACGTGACGTCGGCGGGAACGGAGAGACGCGGAGGGGCGGGGACGGAGGCGGGGCACGTTTCAGGAACGTCAGGTCGACGCGTCGTGCGGGGGCGTGGCTTGGCTCCTCCCCCCCGGCCGCCTGCGCCGAGGGAGATCACGTGAGGCAGCCAGGTGACAGGGTCGGTTTCGGAGCGGCTGGGGCGTGGTGGGGGGAAAGGTGACAGGGGATTGGTGGGTTTCGGAGTGGGTGGGGCGTGGTGAGGGAAACGTGACAGGGGATTGGTCGGTTTCGGAGTGGTTGGGGCGTAGTGGGGGAAAGGTGAAAGGGGATTGGTCGGTTTCGGAGTGGGGGGGCGTGGTGAGGGAGGAAGCGGGCGGAGGCGGAGTTTCTTCCGAGGAGACCTGCCGAGGAGGCAGTCGGTGCGGGGGGTTAATTTACCTCCCTGCTGGCCTGCTGCGCGCTGTCCTTCTCTCTTTCACTCCCCCCCCCAACATACACTCAGCCTGGCCTACATTGCAGGGCTGTTGTCACGAGAAGAACGGCGTCGTATGGAGCCCTGGGCTGGGGGGGGAAGCAGCGCGTTTATGGTGATGCACCGGAAAAAGATAAAAGTCGGCTCTACATGGATCCTCATGAATTCATATGATTTTTACGCTGAAACGAAATAAAGCCACCATCATACCGCAGACCATGTCTCAGACGATAGGCAGCACTCCAAAAATCATGCCCCCCCCCACGAATTCGTGGCACCGCAAAACTGCAAAAACATGGTTCCAAAGCATGGACCCTCAGGGTTCACACGAGCAATGTTGCTCGGCCATCACAGGCAGAGGTGGAGTTTGCCCCTAGGACTCCAAGGCCGTTACCGCCGGCAGCCATAACTTTTTAAAGAGCCCCTAAGGAGAGCTGCGGTGGCTCAGGTGGTAAAGACGCTGAACTGCAGGCTGTGGAAGGTCGGTAGGTCAGCAGTTCGAGACCCAAGTGTGCCGCATGACGGAGTGAGCTCCCGTCTCTAGTTCCAGCTCCTGCCAACCTAGCCGAAAGCAAGACATTGCAAGCAGGGCTCTTTTTGTAGCAGGTACTCATTTGCATATTAAGCGACACACCCCTAATGTAGCCAATCCTCCAAGAGCTTACAGTAGTAGCCCCTGTAAGAAGAGCTCTGTAAGCTCTCAGAGGATTGGCTACATTAGGGGGTGTGGCCTAATATGCAAAGGAGTTCCTGCTACAAAAAGACCCTCGGTGGGAAGGTGACAGCTTTCCCTGTGCCTCAGTGTTTAGTCATGCCGGGCACATGACCACGGAAACGTCTTCGGACAGCGCTGGCTCTTCGGCTTGGAAACGGAGATGAGCACCGCAACCCTAGAGTCGGGTTCGACTGGCTTTCGCGCAAGGGAACCTTTACCTAAGGAGAGCTGGGGGAGCCAGAATGACCTCTCGCGTGAGATGGAACTTGCCCTTAGGAGTCCAAGGCCACCACCCCTGAGCTCAGGGAGGCAGGAGAATGTTTTGCCCCGCCCCCCGCGGCGGTTGCAGCTGCCGCTGAAAAACAGCAGTGCCGGCCATAACTTTTTAAAGAGCCCCTAAGGGGAGCTGGGGGAGCCAGAATGACCTCTCACGTGTGATGGCCTCTCTTTATAGGAGTCCAAGGCCACCACCCCTGAGCTCAGGGAGGCAGGAGAATGTTTTGCCCCGCCCCCCGCGGCGGTTGCAGCTGCCGCTGAAAAACAGCAGTGCCGGCCATAACTTTTTAAAGAGCCCCTAAGGGGAGCTGGGGGAGCCAGAATGACCTCTCGCGTGGGATGTGGAATTTGCCATTAGGAGTCCAAGGACACCACCCCGGGGCTCAGGGAGGCGGGGAACGTTTTGCACCGTTGCTGCTGCCGTTACCGCTGCTGCCGGCAGCCATAACTTTTTAAAGAGCCCTAACAAGACCTGGGGGAGCCAGAATGACCTCTCACGTGTGATGGCCTCTCTTTACGCCTAGGACTCCAAGGCCACCACCCCGGGGCTCAGAGAGGCGGGGAATGTTTCACACCCCTCCCCTCCGCCGCAGCCTAAGGTCACCCAACAAGCTTTTTTTGGCTTGTTTTCTAGGTGCAGGTGTGTGCCTGTGCCTAGGAGTTATGGCGACCTCTGGTTACTCCTAGAGAGAAGAGGAGATTGGATTTATACCTGGCCCTTCACTCGGAGTCTCAGAGCGGCTTACAATCTCCTTTCCCTTCCCCTCCCCACAACAGACACCCTATGAGATAGATGGGGCTTGCCCGGGCTACCTTGCCACAGATTTCGCTAGTCTTTAAGGTGCTACTGGATTCTTGCACTTTTCTAATCCTACAGACAGGGCTTCTTTTTGGAAAAAAGAGTCGCTGGAACTCTCAAGACGGAAATGAAGTTTTCAATCTGCATACCGAAAACTCATGAACATTTAAACATTTTCAAAAGAATTTTGTTGAAGGGGTTCCGGGACTCTGTTCCGGCGTATTCCTCCGGAAAAAAAGCCCCAGCTACAGAACAACACGGCTACCCATCTTTTATTTATCTCCGCTGAAGCACAGGAGACTTACGTCTGAGTGAGAGAGAGCTTAAGGCAAAATTACGCAGCTTATTCAATAATGGGGGGGGACCCAGAATCATAGGATGTTAGAGTTGGAAGGGGTCTTGCAGGTCATCTAGTCCAACCCCCTGCACTCTGGAGGAGCATAGCTGAAAGAGAGCCCAACAAACCCGAAAGATGGTTGTCCAGCCTCCGCTTGAAAACGTCCAGCGAAGGAGCATCCACTACCTCCCGAAGCAGTCTGTTCCACTGCTCAACCACTCTGACAGTTAGGAAGTTTCTCCTGATATTTAGCCGGCGGTAACGACTCCCTTGTAATTCCCACCCATTTGATCTAGTCTTGCAATCCGGAGCAAGAGAGAAGAGATCTGCTCCATCTTCTACAGGACAGCCCTTCAGATATTGGAAGACTGCAATCGTGTCCCCTCTAAGCCTTCTCTTCCCCAGGCTAAACAGACCCGACTCTTTCAGTCTTTCCTCGTGAGTCTTGGATTCCAACCCTCTCCCCATCCTGGTTGCTTGTGTCACAGCTGGTTTGGGAAGAAGGCCCATTTACCCACGTTCCAAAAGAAAAGAAAATATCAATCCGATCTGTTCAAGGAGAAATATATTTATTTGTTTAAAACATTCCTGTGCTGCATTTCCACCTTGGTGGGGTCTCTGAGGGGGCGAACGTGAAAACGTTTCGACATGAAAACAGCATAAAGTATATATAAAATAAACAATTCAATTAAAAAAAACCCAACAACAACAGATAACAATACAATAAGAGGAGGGGACCAAATAACAGTTACAAAACAAAGACGTTTTCACCCGCTGGCAGAAGGCAACAATAAAGGGAGAGGATTCCAAAATTTCGGTGCCGTGACCGCAAAGGTTCTTGGGTCGCCCCCTGGGTAGCCTTAGATGGCAGGTTGGGCACCCGTAACAGGGACTCTGAAGATGGCCTGGTAGGTTCTTACGGGGAAAAGTTGGTCCCAATTCCATCAGATGATTGGACAAAGAGTCGAGCTGCCTCGTTCGTGTTCTGTGGGGGCCATCTGCTGGAAAAAAGCCGCTACTGCAGAGAATCCGTACTTCAACACTGGACATCTGCACCCTTGAGGGAAAGAACTACCATCGAATCCACCGCCGAATCCAAGAAAGATCCTGCTGTTAGGTGCCTAGTTAGGAAAATACCCTCCCCTTACCATTGTACTCCTAGCTTAGATAAAAATTGTCTGTAAACCGCTCTGAGCCTCATGGATAGGGCGGTATATAAATCGCAAATGTAATGTAATGTAATGTAGCGACAGCTCCTCTAGGCATTCCTACTTCATCTCAGAGATTTTTTGTGTGTGTCTTGACAGCTAGGAATCTCTCTCCTCGGCTTTCGAATGCAGGTCCCATCAGGGTTCAGGAAGACGATGCCCTCCAGCTAAGGGGAGGAACAGAGAGAGAACATTTGGAGCCAGTTTGTGGCTCGCGCACAGAAACAGAGAGGAAGTTTTGTTGGGGTTAGCGGCAATGCCCCCTCTACGCTGTGGAGTCCTGTGAGCAAAAATCCTACTTTGTGAGCTGCTAGCATTCAAGTTGTGACTGAGCGATTTGGCTGCTGCATAAATTAGTTTGCTCTGGAGCCTTCCTTCCTGAGCTAAGGCAAAAATGTGCCAGCCGGAGGCTAAAAAAACTGTGAGCTAGCTCACACGAACTCAGCATAGAGGGAACACCGGTTAGCTGGAACTGGGGTGTGGCTTACAATGTGAACTGGGGTGTGGTTACAATGGCTGCTCTTTCAGGGAACCTGATATGGGTTTGTTGCTCACATAACGTTTTTTGGGGAAGGGCAGGGCTATTTTTGGGCAGGAACGCACAGGAACGGAGTTCCAGCTGGCTCCCAAGTTGGCCACGCCCAGCAGGACCTCATTAGCATAATAGGCCACACCCAACAGCAGGAACTCATTTGGATTGGCTACATTCGGGGTGTGTGGCCTAACATGCAAAGGAGTTCCTGCTACAAAAAGAACCCTGGGTTTGGACAACAAACAAGGTAAGCAGAATAAGAAGCAAAAGGTGGGTGTGGCTGGATGACCACACTTCTGGTAACATGGGGGTGCGGCCTAATGTGCAAATGAGCTGTGCTGTCAGGGGTGTGGCCCAATATGCTAATGAGTTCCTGCTGTTGGGTGTGGCCTATTATCCTGCTGGGCTTTTTCTACAAAAAGAGCCCTGGAGGGTATTTCTGTGTGTGTGTGTATGTGAGAGAGAGAGAGAGCTTGCATGCCTGGAAGTCATGGCGACTTCTGGCGACCCTGTACGGGGCTTGGACGTTTTCCAGAGAGGCGGCTTGATAGCCTACCTCTGCGTCCCAATCCTGGCTTGGCTCCCGCGCCCGTCTTCCAGGTGTGCTTCGCTGTGCTCGGTGGCAGAATTCGGAAGGCGCCCAGTGCCAAGGGAACCCGCTCTGGCA